GGGTTACCACTTATGGTACTGAAAATTAACCCCGAGCCACACTCGGGAATACCGCCATGGAGGTTAGTGGGTGCATTTAAACATTATTTTGGGCTATACTCGTCTTATACGATGAGTATAGCCCAAAACCTATATTTTAAACACAAAAAGTAGGGGATCGTCTTATACGCAGGCAAATATGGTAATTATAATAATCTGTTGCTTTGGCTTCTCACATTTCAGTGCTTAATAAAAGGCAATCCTATTGACAGTGTAATTTGAAATTTTAGTCTGCAGGTGTGTAAGTTTAAAATTAAAAAACACTAGATATAAGGTCACTATATACAAATAGAAATGTTTCAAGGAATATAAACGTAAGGGTTGAATGGCAAGATTTGCTTAGAGTCTAAAACTACATTAGATAAAAGATGGTAATTTATTGGATGAACAGGATTTCTTGGAGTTGATTAAGGAACACAGGGTCAGAAGTAAATCAGAGACGAAAAATCATAATACAGAGGGGTAGGACCTTTGTCCCTGAATGAGCTCCAAGAAAATGATTTTACAGAGAGTCAAAAATCCTGTTTTCTTAATTGTTCATTAAGAGACACAGGCTCAGACATTCTATGTCTCAAAAGCAGTCCAACGGAGGGGTGATCAACACAGCAAACAAACGCTAACAGGCCCACAAAAAAAACAACATGGTGAAAAAGAACTGTGGGCTGCTTGCATCTCAAAGAGCTGCCTGAGGGAACTCAAGTCCAAAGCTGGCTTCAGGCCTAAACATCCATCTGGTAAATCTTAAGAGACATGTGAACAGAAGACTAGGTGACAGCCTTGTAGGTCTGGGAAACAGATGCTTGATGCTGAAAAGTCCAAGAGCCACCTTGATGGGAAAAGGTGGAACCTTAGCCCTAAGCAATCACCTTAGGAAGAAAAGAGGACCTAGGCCTCAAGATAATCTTGCCTCTGTGTAGAAGAAAAAATTATTTGTAAAACAGACACCAATTCAGCATTTGCCTCACATGGGGTGACAACAATAAGGAAGGCTACCTTGGCAGTGAGAATTGAAAGGGGAATGTCGTTGATAGGTTCACAGGGTGGTTTTGAAGATCCGACAGAAACAGGCTGAGATCCCACAAGGTCACAGGTAGAACTATATATGCCATACCTTGCACACTTGTACAAATGCCTTTACCAACAAATAAGAGGTCTTTGAAAATAAAAAAGCCCAAACCGAGATCTGACCCTTGAAGGTACTCCGGCCAAAATCCAGATCAGATTGGAGAATGGTCAGAAAATGCTCACAGTGTATTTCCTGGGCAGGAATTTCCTTGCATTGCACAAAGCGAAGTGTGCTTTCCAAATGCAATCGTAGACCTTTTATGATGTGGACTTCCTAGCTTTTACCAGCATAGGAATAACCATATCAGAAAGTCCTCTATCTCTTAGAATCTAGGCTTCAACAGCCAAGCCAGCAACTGTGAAGCACGGTGGTGGTAAACTGGTCCTTAGAGCAGAAGATCTGGACAATCCAGAAGAGCCCCAAGTTGTCTAAGGACAGCCTGGAACAATTTTGTGCTATGAAAATCATTGGGACACTGTCCATCTCAATCCTGTGGAGCAGACAAGGAAGGAACTTCAGAGGAGGAAAGACATGGATCAGGTTGAACTGCTTACATGGAGCTTCCACTGAATTGGCAAGAGAATCTTTGCATCTGGAGACAAACCAGTACAGGGTGTTGTTGATCCATGATGGGAAGAGCTCAAGTATTAATTAACACCACCTCAATAGGGTATTGCTCAGCAAAACGTTTGGAGGGGAAAATAGCTAGGAGTAGACCAGTCACCATACAAAACCAGTTGCTGTAATGCGTGTGATGGCAACAATCTCAGACACCACTGCTGCTACCAATATGCGACGATGGCACTCTGAACCTGCACAGAGATTGTTGTCCTGGTAGCTAGAACATCCAAGTGCCAGCAGACAGCGTATTTATAAGTGGTGTCAGGTAAGTCCACAGGTAAAACAAAATAACAGAAACATGCACCATTCACAGTATCGGTTATAAGAATTTTGTCCTTTGGGCAGAATTATGTTCAATCTTGTCTGTGACTATTACAAGTTGTTGTCCATTGCTGGAAAATAAACAACAGATTTAAATCTAAAACGATTTAATGCAGACTTACAGGTTTTGAAGAAATTAGGAGGGTACAGACCTCATTATTGTGACAGCGAGTACACTAGGAAAGTTTTGACAGGTTGGGGCCTTTTAAGGGAGCCCAGACTATTAACTTTAGAGAATTTAGATGCCGGTTGATCCAATTCCAGACATGTACAAACCACTGCAATAGGAACCAAAATGGTATCTTTAAGTCTAACAGTTACGTCAGCAGACTGACTATCCTCAGGCACTAATTCATCCAAAAAAGGATAGGTTACATTCCTCATCATCCTCAGCTGAGGACGTAGAAGCAGTAGCAGGAATGTTAGACAGACTCAGGAGGAGAAGGCGTAGAAGTATGCTTATGGCCTCTGTGTTCTTAGTTAGCTATCATGACAGTCTTTTTTTCCCATATAAAATCAGACATGGTAGGAGAAAACTCCTTCCTGGATAATACAGAGGAGGGAGCCACATCAGATGAATCCAACAGTACATTGGGTGTCTGGAGAGCACCACAAGCAGAGCCCAGTGCCCGAAGGTCACATTACAGCGGGTACAGGTAAGGCTGAAAGAAGTCCACTAGTCAGCCAATCTGAAATGCTGCAAAGCAAGCTCTGACTGCTCTGCAACTACCAAAGAATCTGAATTGAAGAAAAAATTATCCTGATTAAAAGGAAAGAAGTAAATAGGTTTCTTTTTTCTGGGGACACTAGCAAAAAACTAAAGACACTTGGAAAAAACTAAAGCATGATGGTAGTGGGAATGGTTATACCTGGCTGACTAACCGCTTTATTCCCCCCGAGTGTCCAGTTCTTCTGTAGACAGCTGTATAATGCATACATCTCCGAATTACTGACTCTGTGCCCCTTAAAGGAGAACTATGGGGTCAGTGTTTTTCCCCATAGTTCTCCTTAGGGTAACGGGAGGACACAAACTAGCGTCCTCCCGTTACCCTAAGCTCAGTATACCGCGAGCTACAGCTCGTGGTATACTGAGACGCCGGAGCGGATCCCCACCTCGAGATCCGCCCAGCTGCGCGAGTGGCAGCTGGCTCTGCCTATCTAGAGAGGGGGGGAGAGGGGAATCCAGCCCCTCCCCCTGTCACGGCAGAGAGCCGTGACAGGATCGAGAGGTGAGCGAACCCGGTATGTGTTCGCTCACCTCCTGATCTACTGAGCCGACCTGTGACAGTCTCATTGTCACAGGTCGGCTAGAACTATGAGGTGAGTGGAAAATCACTCATCTCATAGTTCTCCTTTAATGAACGATTAAGACATTTTTGTAGGAAAAGAAACGGGATTCTACTAATGGACGGTAAAATGGCCAGTGCTGATGCAAAGGATTCTGAAGAATGTTTTATGTAAACTGTGCATGCACAGGTTGGCTGTCTCTGCCTGAACAAATTTGGCAAAAAGCACGCAGCAGAGGCTGAGGCACTGTTCAAATGGACAGTTGGCAGGGTGCCCCTAGATGGTCATTTTGCCAGGTTATGCATATGACATTTTAAAATACTTTTAGACTAAGTAATGATTCACGTTAACAGAGGAAGTGTTCCAGCTTTTTATTCCGAAGTCCTCCATACTATAATTTCCTATCTCCACAAAAAAGAGAAGGCAGCAAAATGTATGCAACATCTGTGCATTGACAGAGTCTGCGAGACAGACTGCAGGAAATTCCAACTTCCCAAAATTTAAGCAAAGTGTGACAGTTTTCTCATTACCCATCATGCTTACCGAGAGACCTGCTTATATATGTCTCCGACCAGAAATTTTAGGAATGAACAGGAAGGAATGAAACATCATCCCAGTGTTTATTTCCCTCTTATTCTAATTCTCAAATACTTACTCAATTGTTTTCCCCCGAATTTCAGTCATGATATTGCTTTCTCCGCCAAGGTATTCATAGCAAAGGCTTAGGAAATTGTAGATGACAAAAGCTACAAAACAAAGTTTATGTTTATTTGAAATCAAAACAGATGCATTTCCCCAATACATAAATTGCATACAGAGATTGCACAGAATTGCAGATGATAGTGGACCATCCTTTCATTTTACTGATCCCGCAAAGAAGAGATTCATAACCTGTTTCAGCTTTAGAGACCATCTAAAATAACACCAAACTTTATCCAAAACTTCTTTTCAGTTTTGGCCTACTAGGATATTTCTCCTCACTTACTCTGTGGTCACTAGGTGAAAAAGTGAAACGAAGCTCTCTTGTTAAAACGGAATTTCATAAACAACTTTTTTTTTTTTGCAAAACAGGGGGATCCATCAGGTTCTTTTTGCAGTCTATAGCCCTGTTGGCCAGAGTTCCTTTACTTGCTATGTGGTCACCAGAAGAAAAACTCACCAACATGCATGCAGATTAAAAGCCAACGCAGGTTCTAGCCCTTGCCTAATCTAGCAGGTCCTCCCCTAAAATAATATGTTCTACTGGAGTTTACATTTAAAGAAATTAAACAGATAACCTCTACTTGCCACAAAAAGAAGAAAAAAAACAAACAAAACAAACGGAAGATGAAAATCATGTCAAACCACGACTAACCAAAAACCTACCTTAAAGAGGAACTTTATCCATATCTTTAAAATAACAACAAACACACCTTCAGAAATGTTTAGTAATGACTAGGGCTGCAACTAATGGTTATTTTCATAATCAATTAGTAGGCCGATAACTTTTTTGATTAATCAGATAAAAATAATTAAATACCATCCTTAAATTTAAAATAAAATACACAGATGCAGTGTTGCACCCGCCCACTGCTTGCTGTGCCCTTCTCCCAGCATGGAGGAGAGAGCTAGGGGATCCAACCAATTGATAATGAGAATAGTTGGCAACTATTCTCATAATTGATTAATATCGATTAGTTGGTTGAAGCCCTAGTAATGACAAACCTACAAACGTATACTTATAGATAATTGCAGGCTTTTTATTCCCTGCAAACCTTATTTCTCTTTTCCTCCCCAGTCTTCTGACAGTGGCCATGTTAACTAATGTTGTTGTAATGGTAAATGTTATCTTAAACTGGCTCTGAGCCTTTATAAAAGTAGTAGGACATCATACTATGTGCCTCCAGTGCACACTCTGTACACTATGTAATATGTGAGCACTATTTAAATGTGAAAATACAATGTGAAAACAAGTCTGCCTTTTAATTCGTAACAGAACAGATGCATACAACTCAGGCATGTAGTAAGAAAAAGCAGAGTGGTAAGTAAACCATATGGCTCTGCCTGAACTCCCACAGTTATAATTTGCTTATTCCCAATGGAAGCAGCATGGAAGAAGTGATGCACAACAAGGCAAGCAGCTACACAGGACATAACATCAAGGACAACAAGTAACGAGCACAATATTGGATAGAAGCAAGGTCTTCTTGCCCAGTCTGCATAGAAAAAATGTAGCACTGCAAAAGCAGGGGGGGAGGGGGAGGCTAAAGCACTATAACACCATCTGTTTAAAGCCAATAAACAAAAAAAAATATCAGAAGTTGGATTAGATGCTTTAGAAATGAAGAACAATTCATAAATACATTGGAGTGAATTTATCAAAACTGGAGCAAACAGAATCTGGAGCGGTTGCCCGTGGCAACCAATCAGCTTCTCTCTTCAGCTTGTTCAGTTTAGCTTTGAAAATGAAAGAGAAGCAGATTGGTTGGCATGCACTGCTGCTCCAGATTTTGTCTACACCAGTTTTGATAAATTCCCCTCATTGTATTGTGAAAAGATATGTGTGATTATACCCAAAAAACTTCTCCATTAATGCAATATTATTGTGCATTTGAAAGCTTTTTTTTAAGCTTACAATTAGGGCTGCAACCAGCCAATCAATAAATCGATGAGAATAGTTGTCAACTATTGTCATTATCGATTAGTTGGTTGGGTCCCCTAGGTCTCTCCCCCATGCTGGGAGGAGGGCAGAGCAAGCAGTGGGCGGGTGCATAAGCCAGCCTGCTATTGCAGTTTGAAATGGCCAATAGCAGGCTTGCTATTGCACCCACCCACTACCTGCTGTATTTACCTGGCTGAAGATATTCAAGCGTCATGTGCTTACAATACAATTATTATTGTTTCTGCTGCAGGAAGTGGGTTGCAGTGCCATTCATTTACATGGCACCCCAAATGCGCCTCCCACCCACTGGAATGCACGATACCCCTATGCTGTGCGTTCCAGTACATTTGCAAAAAATTGTGCATGCATTTTTACTCTGAAATAAACTTTGTTTGTAACACTGGATTTGTGTATTTATTAAAAAAGAAGGATGCAAAACACACTTCAAAAGTTTAAAGTGTATTTCCACTTTTGAAACCAAATTAGGATAACACCGCTGGCCTCCTGTGACAGTGCTGGCTGTCTCTGCCCACAGTGCCACTCTCCTGATCTGCGACAGGGGGCTGAGCGGTGCGGGGAGGAGAGACGCTGATCGCTCACTGAGCTCTCCTCCCGCAGCGCTCGGCCTCCTTGGACAGTTTCTCTCCTCCCTGCTGGGACACAGAGCAGCGCCCAGCGGGGAGGAGAGAAAGCAGGGATGCGCCACTATTTCTGCCAAAATATGGCACTTTCGGCATTTTGCCAAAAGCACCATTTTCGGCTGATATGTTTCGGCGGCCGATATATCGGTGCATCCCTAGTTTATATACTAACCCTCTAAGTACTGTGCTGGCAGATCTCCGTCAGTTGTGAGCTAGATTTGAATAACGTCCGTCCTAACAAAGGGTTAAATATGAAAGCATTGTAAATGAATAAGGGGAAGCTCAGTCTGTCACTAGTCTATGGGGACAGCCAAATATTCCTGTCACTTGGAAACGGTGTAGCAGCTCCTTGCAAGCTTCTCTGTCAGTTTGCAAGTGACAGGAAACTCTGGCTGTCCCCATAGACTTGTGACAGACTGAGCTTCCTCTCATTAATTTAAAATGCTTTCAGATTTAACCCTCTGTTAGTACAGGCCTTTGAAAGCTTCTCTGCCAGACATCTAAAAGGTAAGAAATACATTTAAAAAAAAATATTTGTACGTGTATGTAATAACATATAAGAGGGGTGTTTCCCAAACTCGACTGCAATGTACAATTTCTTTATGTACAGCACCAGGGACATACACTCACCGGCCACTTTTTTAGGTACACCTGTTCAATTGCTTGGTAACACAAACGGCTAATCAGCCAATCACATGGCAGCAACTCAATGCACTTACAGTTTATTCTGGACATTTTACACTTGCTTGTAAGTATAGATCTTTGATTTTACATAATAAATGTACTAACCCTGCTTCAAGAGGCCAGTTTGCTCTGTTCTATTGTTGTTCTATTGTAGTAAAATTTGCAGGTTAAACACTTCCTGTCTCAATGGATTCCAAAAAAAAAAGGATTTTTACAGGGAATACAAAATCCTATTATAAGAACTCCTTTGCCAAAATAGCTGTAACTCTCTGACAATGCGCATGCAGTAGCCTGACAATATCTCTAATGAACGTGAAAGAAATGTGTACATTGTGTATGCAGTGATTTTTAAAAAGAAGAAACTGCACTAAAAAAACTCTGTATACAAAGATGAGCTTAAAATCTTTTGCAAACCTCACTGGGATACAGTGACAAGGATACTGCTAGGAAACACAGCAGGTTCTTCAGTTTTACACCTTTGGGATTGGACAGCCATGCTTATAGTGACACATCCATTCTAAAATATAACTATCCATTATTATATAGTTACATAGTACTTGAGGTTGAATAAAGACATTAGTCCATCAAGTCCAACCTATTAGGATCATATTCTAGGAGTACCTGTACCCCTGTATATTACGGTCCCTTAAGAAATCATCGAAAAGTTTCTTGAACAATTCCACATTATTTGCTGAAATCACCGCCTGTGGCAGTGAGTTCCAGACCCTAGCTGATCTTACTGTGAAGAACCCCCTTCGCCCCTTGTGCTGGAATTTTTTTTCCACCAAATTTTAGGTGGCGGCCTCTAGTTTTTGTAATGGAGTTAATTTTAAACAGTTTATCGCTAATGTTGCTACCACCATTGAACATTTTGTACATGGAAATCATACCCCCCCTTAATCTCCTCACCTCCAATGTGAACATGTTTAAATTTAGTAGCCTTGTCTCGTAGCTCTGGTCCTCCATACCCCTAATTAGTTTAGTTGCCCTCCGCTGGACTTTTTCCAACTCAAGGACATCTTTTCTTAGTACTGGTGACCAGAACTGGACCGCATACTCCAGATGAGGTCGAACCAATGATCTATAAAGTGGCAAAATTATAGACTTGTCCCTGCAATACATCCCCTTTTTAATACAGGACAAAGCCCTACCAGCTTTGTTTACAGCAGCCTGGCAATGCAAACTACCCTACAGTTTGTGGTCTACAATGACCCCCAAATCCTTCTCCATTTCTGACTTCCCTAGCGGCATACCCATAATCTTTTTTTTTTTTCCATTTAAAATTTTTGTTTTATTGAGCAAATTAAACAAAGAAATTACATACAATGTGATCAAACATATCAAATCCCAAAAAAAAAAAGAAACAAACATATCACTTTACATCTTAAAGTGGGCAACCTCCTATGAGGCTGTTTCGTTAGGCCACTAAACAGGAAACATTAAAAACAGGTCCCCCTTACCTGTTTCTGAACCCTTGTAAGTCGCTGCGGCTGCAGGAAGGTTCTCACAATTGGCAATTCCAGCGTAATCCGGTTTCATTGCTATGCAATAATAACATCTGGCATATCACACAGGACATTCGAGAGGATAGGTAGGCTTGGAAGTATGAGCAGTCTTTCAGGACAATAGCCTGTGATCAGCTGGACCCATAATTGTATAACCCATTTATTTTTAATTCCAAAGTGCATTACTTTGCATTTATCGACATTAAACCTCATCTGCCACTTTAATGCCCACTCCCCTATTTTATCCAGGTCCTCCTGTAATGTTATAATGTCCAAGTC